TTTGAATGGCTGGCGAGACCGAGTCGCCAGTCCATCTTCCATGCGTATGCGCCGTGAGGACTTGCGGTTGGATCTACGCGGGCGAAAAGGCCTAGTTTCCGCTCCGCGCATCCGGTTTCGCTCATGTTGCAACAGGGGTCGGAAAGTCCTAGTTTCCGATCCCCCTTCGGTGAGAGCGCGGAGAGGCCGAGTCTCCGCTGCTGGCTCTATTGGTCCGCTTTCCTCGGCTTCTGGGCGGAAAGGCCTCGTTTCCCTTCCAGAATCGGACGCAAGTATCGAGAGCGCATCGTCGGAACAGCCTTCTTCTTCCTCCGCCACCTGTTGTGCCCACGATTTGCTAGGCGTACTTTCGGGCTCGTCCAAATGCAGCGTCGAGTGATGTTTTTCACCGCATCGGCGGCATCTTCCTTCGCTCGTGCAGTTTTTGAGCTGGTGCGTCATGGCGAGGCAATTAGCGCAAAAGCGGCCTAGTAGTGCTTCCCGTAATCTCTCCTCAGGGGATTTTGCGCGATAGACTGGGCAGAGTCTAATGGGGTGATTCGCAAAGCATAGACGGCACGGCTGCGGATAGCGCTCGCTGCATAGTTCGGCCTTCTTTCTCAAAGCAGCGAAGTAAGGCATGTTTTCTTCTGAAATGATGTCGGAGTTTCGTATATATATGTATATATTTAGGTATATTGTTGGGTGGCGAGTGTATATTTATATATGTAAACTTGGTTGGTGTGAATATGGCATTATTTTTATTATTTTGCTAATCAAAGAACCACCAAGTGTGAATGTAGCCTAATGTTAACTCACGACCTACAAAATTTTGGATGATGAATTGCATGGATGCCATGTATTCTACCGTGCAGGGATGTATGGGCAACGTAGAATGTAACTTGAATTAAATTATACCGAAAAAATGGCTGTGCGTATGAGTGTGGTAGCATTTATTTATTTTTATTATTTTTCATTTGTGCTTCCATCCGCATATTTTGTCAATAGCAGGTTTTAACATATGTGTGTGTGTACTTGAGTATGTGACGTGAACCTGCTTATCGACATTTGGAGACTTATGTATCTTGGTTTACATCGGCACTCAACAATCCCACTTCCCACCGGCAAAAGTTTGCATATCATTGGGCGCCTTGCTGTTAAAAAACAAGGTGCCGCCTAAGAAATACTTTAGCAAGCATAGTATTTTAACATTTTTGTGGTACGTAGTGACTTTGGATTGGTTTCCCATGTAAAATAACCAATTAACATTTTGTGACTTTGCATTGGTTTTACATTTAAAATAACCAATTAACATTTTGTGGTACCCAGTGACTTTGCATTGGTTTTACATTTAAAATCCCCAATTGTATGACAACAGCAATTAAATTTATTGTCTACGAACGGTCACCATGCAAAACTAGCAGCAGCTAGTTAGGGTTAGTGTTAATTGTCCGTAAAGAAACATAGCTATTCTCCAATATGAATGGAGAACGGCAGTAGTTTATTCCTGATGTGGAACGTAATCACATACATACATACATACAATGCATAAATGTCATTGTCTAAAATTTACTACCACGCGGCCATTACGTAAGTTTGCTGAAACGGTTGGGTGAGTATGCATGCGAAATTGCATGCTTTTATTCTTATTAATCTTTTTCGATTTTCAGAGATTTTTATTGCGGTGGACGAGTGCTTTTTTATTCAGCAGAAGGCAACAATCGCTTGGTCGAAAGTTTGCGACAATTTCAAGATGATATGGATTCGTTAAACCGAATTTCCAACAACAAATCGAATTCTGAAATGGTGAATCGTATACAACAGCAAAATGCTACCAGTTCAGAAATATTGAAAGAAAATCGCGAGCTAAAAATATGCATTGAAGATTATGAACGCACCATGGAGTTCATAATGCAAAAATATCGCGAACCTACAACCAGCAAAATACTCGAAAGCAAAATTAACTTCAAAGAAGTATATAATGAGGAACTGTGGATAATCATATGTGAACAAAAACGCCTGCTACACCTACATATCTATAATGGCATTGCCCACTAAAACGCCCAAGATTGGTCACACACGTATGTATGCATTCCCGATACACGCATATACGGTCATCCCATCAACTGCAACCAGCAGCCTTCCAGCCAGAAATAATCGTGAAGAAACAAGTATTTGCATTAATTGGAGACAAATCCTATGAATTCGTTAATTCATAAAAACGGGCGTAATTTTTTTCGAGTTGCGCCTCCATCGACACCCACAAAAACAAATGCACCTCCATTGGATGGTATGATGGCACACACGCCCACACAAGGACCACCTGCTATGCACAGTGGCGGATATGATTCGAGAGTTGCGCACGGATTTTGGTATGTACACCTCCAAATATGTATGTACATGTATAAGTTATAGGCATAATGCCAACTATGTTAATGAACCTGCACTTTCGATAATATTCGAAACTTTTATCTACTTATGTATGAACATACATACATGTATTGCCCCCAAGTTTAGCAAAAAAGGATAAAATAAAATGTTATATTTGATAGCTGCTTTCTTTAAATACTTTTAGTTTATTGACCTGTACTGCTGCTGCATCCTCGGTAACAGATTCTCTCATTGGCGTTTGTGAAGCCGGTGCAGCAGCGGATGCGAGTTTTAAGGCTTTGGCTGCTCTTGGCGGGGGCGTTGGTCGTTCCGTGTTGGAAATACAGCTTCCAGCAATAGTAGCACAAAATAAATTTGAATTATCAATATCTTCTCTGCAGTATATAGGAGTTACCAACGATGGTGACGATGACAGCTTTGTCGGCAGTGAAGAAGGTTTTGTATTTGCTTTTAAGGTATTTGTTGCTGTTGATTGTAGATTTCTCGGTGTGGAACAATTCATGTCAACCCGAGTTTCCTGGCAAAAGAAGTCACAGCGTTTCGCTACGTGCGGCTTTTATTGCCGACATATAAATTTGTTCCAATACCGATTTAACTCCATGTATATATAGTAAATAGTTTGCACATTTCATGCATTTCCGTCGCGATGACTTTTTTTTTGATGCCCTTGTTCAAATTCGTTTCAGACGCCAAAAATTAAGACATTTTGAAAATCTGACCTTAAGGTCTTTATCTGTAACATAAGTATACACAGGTCAGAATCAAAAGTGAATTTTCCACATTTGATTTTTTTTTTTTTTTTTTTCGTAAAGAAAATGGCTGAACCTCCGTAACCATCGAATCTATTCAATCAACTATGTTAGAATTTCTTAAGTTTCTACATATGTATGGATGTGTGTTCATTAGAACTTAAAATTTTGTTTAAGCACGGCGCCGTCAAAATTCATATTTTTTTAAGTAAAAGTAGAAAGGATACAAAAGTCTGTTAACAGCTTACATTCAAGAAAAAAAGCTTGTAGAGGCAAAGAATTGAAATATGAATTAGGCATGTGAATCAAAATTAATGGCGTGCTTACTAAAGTAAAAGTAAAAGTAAAAATTAATACATATTTTGTTCTAGTGAGCTACTGGTAATTGTTATAGCTATGAAATTTTTACACTGTATGGAAGAACAGGGAGCGGTCATTTCTACATACTTAACACGATTTGGTATTATTTTGAATTATTACACTATTGAAGTAAATGAGCCGTATGTATATTTATGTCTTCAAGAAAATTTACAGCAACGGCAAAGTAATTTTTCAAGCAGCAAAAATATGGTGAAAAATATTTCTTGTGATTTTTCTTGAGAGCCGGAAACCAAACTTAATTAAAAAGTGGTACGCTACGGGCTGGCAGGGCGGCTTAAGCGTTAAGAGACTTCCTTAAATTTATTAAAACAGACTTGCATTGGGCATCGACTTCCGCTGAAAAAATATACTGCATGCGCCTGCATGTATCATATTTCTGTAGTTAATTTATGTAAAATTTAGGAGAAAATGTAAATTAATTTACAAATACAAATTATTTTTGTATGTCATATTTAAATTACGATGCTGCTTTTGCTAATATGGCAAATAAAAATAATGGACTTGAACGGCAACTCCCTTTTTTTCAATATAAGTCATCCTCTATGAATGCAAATTGTGCTCCAAGTGAAGGTTCATAACGACTTTCGCCCTTTTTTCTGCCATATTTGTGAATAAGCATTTGCTCAATTTCATTTAACTTACAATTTCATTTCAAGTGCAAATATTTTGGAAGTGATTGCAATGCTGTTTTTAGTTATAAGATAATTTTCAGTCTTCGATGTTTGTAAAGATTTTCTGATGGGTGCTTAGATCTTACGATGGTCGGTTCTTTGTTACCAGATCGGGCTGTGGGAATACAGCCAAGAACCATCACTTAAATCTTACTAAAAAATACGATTGCTTTTAATATGATTCTGGGTTAAAGTTTATTATAGGCGTGGAATCCTTCCGAATGCATAGAAGTGGAATTTTTGTGCGATGAGGAAGTGGAATTCACGCGGGATTGGGGATCAACGGAGGGGGTTTATTTACGAAGTGGTTGCTGGCTCCTCGGTTTCTTGATTTTGGGATGGAAGTAGGACCAGTTTGGCCAGCGGTCTCGTAATCTGCCCTTTTTCCGTGATGATATCAACTACGCGTACTCGATCGTCGGGACCAGGATGTAGGCTGATAATTCGACCTAATCTCCACTCATTTGACGGGAGGTTGTCTTCCTTGATGACAACGAGATCTCCTAATTTTATATTTTGCTTTAGATATTTCCACTTAATCCGCTTTTGCAGTTCGGATAAATATTCGGTTTTCCATCGTTTACAAAAAGTTTGATGAAGGGCCTTTAGCTTCTGCCACCGATTTACTATCGAGGCAGGATTCTCGTGAACGTCGATTTCAGGTGGGGCTAGCAGGTGTCCACCGGTAAGAAAGTGACCTGGAGTGAGAGGCTCCAGGTCGGTAGGTTCATTCGAAGCGGGGCTCAATGGTCGTGAGTTGAGGCACGCCTCAATCCGACATAAAAGAGTACTGAGCTCTTCGAATGTATATTTATGAACGGATGCAATCTTTTTAAAGTGGCTTTTAAAGCTTTTTACCCCTGCCTCCCATAAGCCGCCCATATGAGGAGCAGCGGCGGGTATGAAATGCCATGTGAGCATTTGATAATTGTATTTCGAAACTGTTTTTTCACGCGAATCTGCTAAAAATGCCTTAAATTCAGATCGTAAAGATCGTGAAGCTCCGACGAAGTTTGTACCATTGTCGGAATATATGTTCTTCGGGCATCCTCTTCTGGCTACAAACCTGGCGAATGCAGCTAAAAATGATGGAGTGCTGAGGTCACTAGTTGCTTCCAAATGGATCGCTTTTGTCGAAAAACAGACAAAAAGGCAAACGTATCCTTTGGACATTCGACAACCTCGGCCGCTATAACTTTTGATGTCAAAGGGTCCTGAAAAATCTACACCTGTATTCGTAAACGCGCGCGAAAATGTGGTTCTCTCCTGAGGGAGAATTCCCATAAGCTGGGTTTGCGTACGTTTTTTGTATATCGTACAGACTTTGCAATTATGGATTGTGGATTTGATCAGATTTTTAACTCTGGGGATCCAATACTGAGTTCGGATAAGGCGAAGCATGAGTTGATTTTCCCCATGCAAAGAGACTTGATGAATAAAGGACACTATTAGACGGGACAACCTGCAGTTATAAGGAATAATTATTGGATGCCGCTCGTTATACGCTAAGTCTTGAGACGCTCCAAGACGCCCACCAGCCCTAATAATGCCATCTTTATCTATGAACGGATTAAGCGGTAGGAGTTCACTCTTGGAGTCGATGGAGTTTCCTGCTTTAAGTTTCCTGTATTCTTCACTGTAATAGTTCTGTTGATATATTTTT